AAAATTAAACTTGCACTTCTTCCAAGCTCCTCAAATGGATTTATCCATCGACGGTATATGCGCCGAAAAATACTGGCATCACAAGCTGAATCAGCATTAAAACCTAACCAAAACATAGTTTTGACGTAAAAAAATACTCTTTCGGACGGCATAAATTCTTTTCGCGGTGAAAATTTAAAGATATAAAATTGTCAGACTAAATGAAGTCTCAGGAAACCCTCAGGACTAAAATCAGCGTCGAAATCAGAGACATGGAATCAGTAAACCGTCACAAACATTGAGGTAAATGCGGAAGTAATCGATTGGAACTCATGTTCAACGGATTGATTGGATTATATGATTAAAATCATGTTGAAAAATGATCATTGGGTAAGAGCTTCCTTAATAAATGAATGGATTTATGAATTAATACATAAATGAATGAATAATTAAAAAGTTCTCATTATACACAGTGTGAAAAATAAATTTATTTACACCAAGGATAAAGTTTGGCTACTTGAAGCGGCAAAATGGTTTGAATGTCGGCAATATTATAACAATGTTTCACGAAATAGTATCTCCCGAACTTTTAATGACCCATAAGAAAGAATCAAGGAAATTCCACTCTTTACCATTGAGCATTTAGCCTGCAATTAAACAAGAATACGTATACACTAAGAAAAATAATTGGTAGAATTTACCATTCCTTCACGCTGTATTTCACGTAGCGTCAATTTAGGGTCGATTCTGTCAGAAGAAAGGTAAACGTTACTGTATAAATGAGGGGGGGGGTAAAACTCTAAAAAGTGGCTCGAACTGTATGTAACCAACCATCAGTTTCGTACTGGTACGCATTAGAGTTCAAAAAATTTAATTTTGACTCTAATTGTACTTTTTGGAACTTCTTGGCTTTGTTTTCCCCGCGATATGGTGTGAACCCAGCACCATTTCTCCACCTTGTCACGTTACTATATATTGCTACAGGTAACCATTAACCTGGCAGAATCGACTTGAAGATTGGTAGAATTTACCATTCCTTCACGCTGTGTGAAATACAGCGTAAAGGAATGGTAAATTCTACCAATCTTTTTTTTTTTGTTTCAGTGAATGAAGACCCCTATTTTGATCAAATCAGAGCACTGATTAAAAGTCGTTTTCCATGTATTCGAATTCGAGTATCAAAATCCTTCTTTCCGCCAAGTAGGCACCTCCATTCAGGTACGTACGTTAAGTTACATACCCGCATTTTGGAAGGCGTTTTGAAACGGTAGTGGCAACAGATTTCCTCTATAGAGGGTCTTCCCAACGCAGACGCGCGAACAAACATGAATAGCGAAGAGAGCCGTGCGCACGGCGTACTGTCGTGCTATGAACATTCAGGCGTTGCCAAATTTACTTTGATAAAACACGAATTTCCTGGTAAACGTATGAATATTTTCCTTCCAATTTTTCTGATAATTTGTTTCGCAATTTCATACCGAAGGATTCTGAAAATTTAAAGGATAAATGGATTGCATTTTGCAAAAAGGAACCACTAGCATTGCAATGTTGCTAAGATTGTGCAACTTCTTTTGCCTTGGAGGAAAAACCTGATTATCCATTAACAGTTTCTATTTTACTCGCTAAAAACTGTAAATTTAAGACAAAAATTACCATCTAAATTTCATAGTTTTTCACGATTTCCGCAATTTTATTGCAAAAGATGAAGTTTCAAAATCTTAGCATCATTGCAAGGCTAGTGGTTCCTTTTTGCAAAATGCAATCCAAATGATCATAACTTTCCTCAAAAATAAACATTTTATCGAAGAAATTTTGCAACCTTCGAATGTTCTTACGGCGTTCTTCCTTAGCACGGCAGCGTAGGTGTAAAAATGGATTTTTGAAAAAATGGGCTCAGTGGCGAAAATTTTGTTGAAAGAAGCCTCCATCCTTTATCAAACTGGCAACAATATCCAAAGGACAACAAACAAACATTTATTGCGAAGAGATCTGTAAGTGCAAAAATGAAGTTTTGAAAAAATGGGATCAGAAGCGAAAATTTTGTTGAAAGAAGCCTCCGTTCTCTATCAAATTGGCAAAAATATCCGAAGACCTCTTAGAAATTCTTTAGATGATTTTAAATTGACCAATTTTATCATAATGATATAGACAGAATTTGATTCATGTTCATGTTAAACTAGCATTAGGCGAGACGGTCGCATTCTATCTTCTGCATGCATCCCAGGTTGCGTTTTGGACACACAACTAACTTATTTTCTGGTTAGAAATTGGCAGAGAGGGGGGCATTTTACTTAAAAGCTCTGTTTTCATTGGCTCTCGGGAAGAATAATGCTAGTTACGACCGTCTTGTCTGAAACCAAGTCATTTTTTACACTTAAGGTGATTCGATGGACGCCATAATTTTTGTCAGAACGGCATGCGATATATCGCATCAATTGGTTACATTTTTTCAGCTACTCGTCATTTTTCTCCAATTTTAAGATCACAATTCTGTTGTCATGAGACTAAAGCACTCACTTACCAATTTTAACAAAGAAATTCAACGTAATACAGGCGTGGTTTTTTTTAGAGAGAAAACAGCGCATCCGATACTGGTATCGAAACTGCACTCGAATGCGATATTTTCTCTCTAAAAAAAAACACGCCTGTGTTACGTTGAATTTCTTTGTTAAAATTGGTAAGTGAGTGCTTTAGTCTCCTGACAACAGAATTGCGATCTTAAAATTTGAGAAAAATGACGAATAGCTAAAAAAAATGGAGCCAATTGATGCGATATATCGCATGTCGTTCTGACAAAAAAATATGGCGTCCATCGAATCACCTTAAGACTTCCTCATATTTCTCGTTTTCATAAAAATAAGACAAGTTTTGCAATTTTAGGTATTTCAGTGATTTCATATAAAAGAGACCAGACCAATTTTGAAAGAAACTCGATGTCGACTTCAGTTATGACTCTCTTCACATGACGGCAGTAGAGTCTGAATTGAAATGACCTTTTCGATTGGAAAAGCTTTTACGGGGGTGAAAATAAAGCGCCCGGGTCCATTAAAAGAAAGCACGGTCTGCGATAGAAAGTGACATGTGCGCCATTCGATGACGTCTGTACGAAGCAATTACTACACAATGAGGGAAAAGGGAAAAGCTACAGGAGGCGTGCGATTTTTTCCATTAGCACTTTCAACTGGAAATCGTTCTTTCGCAAGCTTTCAAAGTGCAAATGCTCCAGAGATTTGAAATTAAAACTTGTTGAAGGCGTCAAAGGAGTCTTTCGCTCTGTAGAATTGTTAAATAAAAAATCCACGTTGGAAGGTGCTCGAGAGAAACAAGATATTTCCTCAGAAAAGCGAATTCGTCAAGTTGAGTCGAAATATCTGAATTAGATTTTTCGACTGAAAACGCTTTTAATTGTAGAATTTATATCACCAAAAAAGTGGAAATCGGTCACTAGAGTTTCAAACTGTTTCGAGGAGGTGAATGCCTCGTGAAGTAATGGAGACAGGAATTGCTCGTGTGTGGTGAAGATAACCTGAATATTATCTTCCCAATGATACAATTGGACGAGCGTTAATTGTTGTTAGTATCGACTGTAATTATGATATTAATACACAGCAACAAAACATCAAATATAGTGATCTCAAAAATTGTTCTCTATCAATTCTTCGGTGAAAACAGTTCAAAATTACTCCTAAGACGCCTCTATTTTCCAACTTTTCTGAAACCCCTCTGAAGTTGAGGGAGCCCAAGCCCCCCTCCCCCCCCACCCAGGGCTCCTTTGGTGGGGTGTTTCTCAATGCTTTCTAACCCCCTTGCTAAAGTGCTCCCATGTGATGTGTCCCACCCACAAAATATTCCTATGGTTCCGTCCATCAGAGCGGTTAATCAAGGCGGTAGGAACAGAACAAGAGAACAAAACTAATTGATGATAATGCTTGAGTGTATTCAAAAATATAAAATTAAAATAAAACTAACTAAGGCTGTAAATGACAAGAGGTATTCAAAATCAACGATATTCAAAAGTATCCTCACGAGAAGTGGTACCTAACGTCATATAGTGCACGTATGAATTTTTTCTCTTTTTTTCCTTTCCTTTTTGAGTTAACGTTACCGCGATTGTCTCGGGTCCATAATATATTAGAACCATGAGAAAACAATGACCTACCGTAATATATACCATACAAAAGACATATTAGTAATAGAGAGGAAGAGAAACAGAGGGAGAAGGAGAGGTAGATGTAGAAGAGGGTAGAGAGGGTAAAAGGGATTAAGAAAAGGATTACAGTGGCGTAGCGTGCTTCACAATGCATTGAATGCTCTTTTATTTGAATCTATGGAGAAGGATAGATTTTTATGGTGTCGCAACGAAAAACTGAAGAATCAATTCTTCACTACAGTTTGAAATGGGTAAATATAGTTTGCGAATAATTCACATCTCACTACTAAATAGAAAAGAAGAAGAAGGGGAATAAGCAGGAGATGATTTAAAACATGACGAAAATGAGGAGGTGGAGTAAAAAAAAGGGAGGAGAAGCAGAGGAAAGAAAGAGGAACAAATAGATAGATAAATAGATAGATAGACAGATAGATAGATTTTTGAGGAGTTATCAGAGGAGTATACAGTAAATATCCGTAAAAATAAGAACTAATAATAAACACAAGACAAATTCTTGTAAAAAGAAGAATCACGATAAAACATAAAACTAAAATTAAAGGATCAAACATTATAAAGACAGCTAGGAAAATCAAAGATTTCAATCAGTAAATAATTTAAATCAAAAATAAAATACTAATATTAATAAGGAGAAGAGACCTATGATACTGAAAGTAAAAAGAGGAAGAAGAAACAGAGGAGGAGAGAGAAGAGATGGAAAGAAAAGAGAGAAGGGGCGGAAAAAGAATAAAAGAAAGATTTGTATTGGTTTCGTATTTTCTTCTTCTTTTTTCTTTCCTCTCTCTCTCTCTCCCTCCCTCCCTCCCTCCCTTCCTCTCTTTCCCTTCTCCCCCCTTTCTCTTCTACCTTTTTCATCACTCTTCCCTTTTCCCTTGCTTCCGATTTCGCAGAAAAAGACCCGGATCCTTTGGACCCTAGTCTATCGTAAGGCTAAATAATTTTTAAAATTGTCATTTCAGCAGTGCCTCTCCACGTGACCCTCACTTAAGCCGGAGAATATTATGAGCAGCGAACATCGGCGTACGATCACGTGGTCCCGGGAGATATTTGGTGGTGCCGTAAAGTTGGCAAGAGCAGACTGCTTCGTAACATTCCCCTTTGCCGACAAGTTTCTTACAGGCCTCAATTTCACGGCTGCGCCAGGTGCTTAGCTCGGCCGCGATGCTCAGAAATTTGCAGTAGACGTTGCAGATCTGGCTGGCCTTGTTGGGATCCAAGCCTGGCTGATAAAAAGGGGCGCCTTTATGTGTGGATACCATGCATGGGTCGATCATCTTTTCCATCAAGAATTGAACAGCGGCGGGCAGCTTCTCTATGACTGAGGGATTCACGATAGTTCTAGGTTGTGAGGGCGCCGAGGAGCCAGTGCTGCTTGTTCGTGAGAGTGACTGATTCATCTGAAAATTAGGAGGGAGTCATGAATCAAATCATCGAATGTGCTTGACTTGAATAAGCTCAGCTGCAGTGAAGCAGTTTTCTAAAATTCGGGGACCTGCAATTGGACTGCATTTTGCAATTTGGGACTATAAATTCTGGCTCTTGTGGAAAAACTTATGTGCACAGGAAAACTAATGCCACATACTTAGTTTTCAAACCGGGCTAGAATTTATAGTTCCGCAAATTGCAAAATGTAGTCCAATTAATCTGTAATAATTTTTTTTTTTTTTTTTTTTTTTTTTTTTTTTTTTTTTTNTTTTTTTTTTTTTTTTTTTTTTTTTTTTTTTTTTTTTTTTTTTTTAGGGGCTTCTGCCATAGCCACGCCGGCAATCAGATTCTCTCGAAGGAAATTGTGATTAAACAAAATAAAAATACCACCCGCCTCCATCGATAGACTCACTCTGTTTTCCCTTGGTCCCCCTTGTCCACTACGTTGTTTATAAATTTCAATAAGCAGCCTGTTGGTAGTGTTATCGAATACCAATGTCGAAAAGAATCTAAAATTTAACGGATAAGTAAGGCTTAAGTAACGATGTGCAATTCCACGCAAGAGGAGACATCAATATCGGAAAAAGCACACGAACATGAGGCATTGAAACCGCAGCTTAGCGGAGTGTTTTATTGCAGAGACCTAATCATCTTCTAATGCCTCACATGTTTGATATCGTAACCTCCTTTACCTATCTACAGCCTATTTTTTGTATTTAGATTTTTTCTTGATAATGTATCAAACATACGTGAATGAGGAGAAACGTTTTTTTCCCTCTATATACTGTTTTTTTTACAGGTTACAACAGGCAAAATCCGGTTGGGACCATTTTCCTTAAGTGAATTTTACTTGTTTATTTATTTTTTCAGGTATAGTGTTTAAATTGAGGCTTTTTCGTTATATTGCATATAATAATATTATACACATATATCTGTAATACGGAAACCCAATGTTTCAACGAAATATTCCGCCAACACAATGAGTTCTGCTTATCCCAGAGGTTCAAAATTGTCACATATTCATGAAAATAAACTGACAAGACAATTATTACTGTCTTGCACAGAGAGCATGCACGTATTTTTTTAGGCACAAGCATGCAACTACAGCAAGCAAGCAATAACTAAAACTGCTTTTCTTGTAACAGTCGCATCTCCACTTTTCTTAATGTAAGCACTGCGGGAATTGCCGTAGAAAGTAAAAACTTCGTTTTACAAAGTACAGAACGATTTAATCCCCCTTGATGATATTCATGGATCTTTTCACATCCTCTAGAATTAACAAAATGAAACCACCGATTGTCAAAAGGTATGACCGAAATTGATACATTAGTTCGGAAGAAAATACAAAATTTGAATTCAGTTGGAACGGGATCTTTGACCGGCGGGATTTTTGTTTGTTGCGCAGGACTACCGCAACGCTTGTTTTTTTTAGCCAAAAAACCTGTAGGGTCGCGCAAAATATTCGCTGGTATACTACGTGAAGTAGCAAAGTATGAATGCATATACACAAACCGCGCAGTCCGTTTTGTGAAAAGTTGAGTAAGTTCTGGTGATTTTTCCTCCCAGAAAATGCCATAATTTACCATTGTTTAAAACAATTTTACAACAATTGTTTTAAACATTTTTTTTTGTTTGTTGTCTAAAACATGAGTCTAATTTTCGGTGATGAATTGTAACAAGAATGAATGCATGTGCGTACGCAAGAACATGAAGCTACAATTTAAAATCTAATGAGGAGTTACTTACGCCATGTTTTGCTCTGGACCTCAAACGACTTATCGTCTTTTTCTGAAAAATGGAAAATTAACTCACTTCAATTATAATATAACTTAATTATAATCACTTCCCTCCCCCTTTTTTGTATTATTTTAGTTTCTTATTACTTGCTTTTTCATTTTTTACGAGTATACCTGATCAGCTAACCAACGTTAATATTAGCTTCGGCAGATTTTCGTTCACCAACCATTTGTTCCTGATTGGCCGTCGTCAAATCTACGATATCACATCGCTGTAGCAGTGTAGCCTCCCTCCCTAGGGTGTTCATTTCCTTCATAGCTTCATCTGTCTTTCCATCCTGTGTCAACCGCACCCCCAAGTACTTACAGTCAGTGCAGCCCTTGATCTGCTGTCCATCCTCCAACTCAATGAGTTGCTGATTACCTAAGGTCAGTCTTCCAGGTTTGGATATACTGACTTCAAATCCCACTTCCGATACTCCTCCACCAACTCGCGCATTATTTGTTGTCACGTCATCTTGTTCTTGAGCAATCACCATTTGGTCATCAGCAAAGTCCAGAGTGAACAGAGTTTCAAAATTACCCAAAGGGACACCCATCCCAGCACATTTTTTCCTCCATTCTTTTAGCACATACTGAAGGTATATTCTAAATAGCGTTGACGACAAACAACACCCCCTTTTTAAACCCTTTGTCACATGAAACCCCGTAGCAGTTCCCCATGACACTTAATTTTAGTAAAACTCCTTTGATTAAATTGCTTGACGGCGTCAATCAACCTCCCTTTAAAACTTGATCTTTTCATGAATTTCCAGAGTTTTACCAAATACACTGTCATCTGGAGATCCACGAAAATCAAAAGTTGCTCTTGAGCTACGGCCGTTTTACTTTCAATGATTTGAACAATAACACGTCCCTATCCTTTACGTCAAAACAAAATGGCGTAACGCTCTCTTTGATGCCCCCCCCCCCCCAAAANCAAAAAAAAACATCACGTAATTTACGGGCGGCCCATTGTGAACGGTCTTACTTATTTCTCTGATTATAAAGTGCCTTTTTATACGAACTTGAAATCGGAAGCACTTTTGGTAACCAAAATCACGAAATACGTTTGATGCACCGCAGACTGACAGCTGACAAGATATACAATAATAACAAATTAAACAACGCGTGACAAAGATAATTTATACGTAAATAACACCAGAGCGTCTCGGCTGAAGAAGGCTGAGTTTTCAGCCGAAATTTTTTTGTGATATTTACATAAAAATTAGCCTTGTTAACCGCGGTTTACATTTTTTTTTTTTTTTTTTTTTTTTTTTTTTTTTTTTTTTTTTTTTTTTTTTTTTTTTTTTTTTTTTATTCTAAAATCACGAACTAGTAGCCGAAGTGATAGTTTTGCCACCGTGCGCTCCTATTTTGCTCAAGGAACCCACCGTGTGAATGGATTTTGTTTTGAACTGTAATCTTAATTGGACGTATTTCTATCAAACGGAACTATGTGCATTAAGACATGAGCCTTGAGACCCATAAGAATACATACATAACAGGGCTCATGTCATATTGCACATAGTTCCGTTTGACAGAAATACGTCCAATTATCGGTTCCTGAGGATGTGCACTGCGAATTTGTCATCCGCACAATACAAAGTGCGAGTGCATCTGTATTTTCGATTAGAGGCAGGGCTTGAAACTCTTGAAGGGCCCTTGACCGGTATTCTTTTATGAACCCGTTTTGAGATGCACGACATGCGGTGAATCTTGACCTTGTGTTGTACTGTGTATGTGACCGGTGTATGTGACTGACGAAAAATGATCGAATTTTCAATGTGGTGGAAAAGAAAAATCGTTAGGTCCACAGATTTTCCTTGTCTTCCCTTCTCGAATTGCTTCTCATATATTTCACCTGTAAAATGTTTGAACATTCTACTTTTCATGACATTGGTTTTCCTGGTTGACGATCCCTTGAAATAATGAAAATAGGTACTCACGACGGACGAGGAGTGAAGCTTACGTCCGAGGGAACTACGAAATTTTGATAGTTTGCTCGCAGCACGACTGGTTGTCCGAGCAGGTGCTGAAGGGTTCGGTGCTGAGGGACCCAGGTCCAGGGCTGAGGGAGCTGCGGTTGGGGGTGCCCGGGCAGGGGATGCCCGGGCAGGGGATGCCCGGGCAGGGGATGCCCAGACAGGGGATGCCGGAGCATATGATGCCCGGGCAGGGGATGTCGGGGCGGAGGGGTGCTCATAAAAGTCGATGACTTTTTTCAAAGTCTGCCAGTAGACTTTAGCGGATGCATCATAATTTTTGGTCCAGGTTGAGAAGACTTGTAGATCGTTGATGCAGTAGAAGTTGAGTAAATCATAGGCAAAGTCAGGGGCCAGGAATTCGGGAACCAGAAACATGTCAACGTGTCCCTTAAAGTAGCGGAAGTCACGGCAGGTGGCTTCAAAAAGCCCCTTTATTGGAGAATCCGGCTGAAAACCTATCATGAGCTGATAAGGCAGCGGCAGCTCCGTATCTGATTCAAACTGCCAATAGCGCGAGTATCTTAACCCAGTCACGACGAAGAAGTTTGCTTTCGAGTAGGCTTGCTGAATCTCTTTCTGCATATTTTCTTCAGGAAACTTCTTGCACCGCATTGTTACCTGAAATCAGAAATATCGGTCAAGGGCCTGTTTTTTCGAGTGCGGGTTCTGAATGGGGCAACTGTAGCAAATCCCCAAGAACCGACTAAAAAGTGGAGAGGCTGTGCTAAGATCCGTGTGGTTTTACGGTCTCTATAAGCTAGAGGTAATCTGGAAGACCGCGCTTGAGAGAAAGGCATATTGCACAAATCTCCCATCCCCAAAAGATAGTCTAAACAAGGTCCATCTGCCTACGGTTACCAGTTTAGAGATTAGGTTTAAATGTTGTGCATTTAATCATTCAGCGCATGAGAGACAAAATATAATGCTCGAACATTGTACGGTAATCGACACAAATTTCTGAGCTTTGCAAATTAAGATTACCTTTTCAAATATAATAGAAACCCAAGTTTTATTGCAAGGACTTGAGAATGTGTGGCTTATTATTACACAAGAGGATTCAAGTATCAGAAAAGAACATCATGATTTCAAATTCAATCAACGTCTAGCTTCTATTATGTCTTGCCTTAGATCCGTAATTGACCTGGCTTTACCTCTAACCTGATGAAATTTCTGTCCAAACTCAAACATTCTGGTTTCAAAGTCTGGATTCATCGAAATCCTCCAGATTCAATGTTCGTAATTCTCTCACAGTGCAAAAATATTGCTTCAGAGGGTTGGTAGAACTGTTGAACTGAGATTCCACAGCCGTAACGCTCATGATCTCTGCTAGGAGCACTCTATAAAAACATGTAATTTGTACTGCCGTGCCAAGAGAGAACGCCGTATGAACATTTAGACGGTGCCATATTTCTTTCAAGAAAAACCGAATGTACTTAGAAAATTGAGAATATTTTCCCTCAAAATTTTCGGTCAATTTTGCTCACGATTTAATCTAAATATCTGAAAAGGTCAAGTAGAAATATGCGTAACTTTTCTCAAAATTACATGATTTACTCGAGGAAATTTGTCAACTCTTGATTGTTCATACGGCGTTTTTCCTCAGCGCAGCAGTGTAGCAGAATCTGCTCCTTGGTGACATGCAGAACTGCCAACTTCACCTAATTTTCTTTCGTAGTTGGATTTCTCACGTTGAATATCCTGGGTATATTGTACTTACAACCAAATCTACTGAAACCAACCGTACTGTAGTCTATCCAATCACTTTTTAAACCAACTCCGCAGTGAGATCGTCATAAACACCCCGCAGGAAGTGCATTCCCGCTTTGTCCAATGAAGTGCGCTGGCGGCAATTATTATCAATATTTTCAAAATCGCTGGACGCGGTTTTTTGTTTCTTAAAAAAAATTAATAAATAAACACACACTCCTCACGTGGGTGATTTCACGATAAAAGGAATAGTCATGTCGCCGTGGCTTCCAAACGACTCATGGCAAAGCGATTGAAAACCAAGGTGATAAATCGAAAGAAATGATGTCCCTGAACTTATCATGCTAAAAAATATCATAAATAATGATTAAATTTGATGATATGAGACTTTAAAGGCCGAAAATGTCCGGTCGGTTATTTGTCGCCAACCCCAATTTTGAAGCAAAAGAGCAAATTTGCGACTTAGATTTGCGAAATTAGAAAGAAGTGTCGCCACTTTTGGCAACATATTCTAGCAGTTGTTGCAGTGTTTATCTCACCAGATGGAACCAGGAGTTTCAAAACTGTCATCAAATAGTTCGCTAGAGTCTTCTCGACCAGACCACTACTAATAAGTCGGCTTCAGTTACAATGTGAATTATAAATTTGATAAAAACCGGTGATTTTTAGGCATGTAGTACAAATCCCCAACACAAAATCCTCAATTCAATATTATTCGATAAAACGGAAGTTCCCAAAGTTTAGAAAACTTATAAGGCAGCATTAATTCCAGATTCCTTCCTCATTCGCCATACGTAACTCTCTAGGACGAGATGATCGGATCACCTTGACCTGGCTTGAGAATTTTAGAGATAGTCATGGGAAGAAAATTCCCTGACGCGATACAACTCTCGCCAAAATACGAATCCTCACACGTGCCCTTTAGGGTGCTTGAAAAACCTCTATTTATGTTTTTACCTTTTTTTTTCACTTTTTTCCTTTTAAAATGATGATTGATTTGGACACATCATAGCATATTTCAAGCAAATGTAACCGGAAATCTTCTCAAATCTCACAAATAAAAGACACCTCAACGCGGCTTGATCACGAAGCTAAGGTACAATTATTAGTGCGTAATGAATGTCCGTGTCGCATCAGCAAAATTGCAGGCGCAATAGCGCAAAGCGTGAGCTCGCAATGCTGCACTCAATGTTGCCAATGAGGAGTCGCTTGGATTCAGGACATTTCAAGTACGAGGTTCGATGACGTCTTTACTATCTTTCGGTTGGTTGCGGTTCGGTTTGTAGCACAGCACCCATTGAAAAATTAGGCAAACGGAACCAACTCCATGGAAATAAAGTAAAGGAAATGACGCGCATCAATGACGGCGCAGAGATACAACTATTCGTGTTTGATGGATGCCCGTGTTGCATCTACAAGATTGAAGGCGCGATGGCGCGAGGCGTGCACTAGTATTACTCCACTGCGCTAATGATGGACCATTAGACGCAAGGTACGAATATCAGCATTCTGATACATGTTTCTTACCTAAAATTTCACGTAAAAAATGCCGCGCACAACGAAAATTACCGAAATGAACTCCTTCCAAAGATATTTAACGATTCTTGATGCGTGAAATGAAACCATCCGCTCATGAAAATTCAATGCTCTGCGCGATTCACACCGTGCGCTAAACGTTATCATGACAGTCTCTGTGATATAAAAATCTGGCAACCTCAATCTTGATGCTTTGGCTCAGCCATAGCAAATTGCTTATAGTTTGAGCAACACATGGTGGGAAGTGGGGGCATAGGGACACATGGGGGCATAGTAATTTTATTGGGTTTGGCTATTTTATATTCTCTAATAGAGTGTACTGTGATTGTTGTAATAAATACTATTATTGGTGGAACTAATTTTAACATTACTCGATTGAGAAGCTTGTTGAAACCGTTGTAGTGCGCGATTTGACTCACGTAGAGCTTTGAGTTTCTTGTGAGCGGGCAGTTCAAATTCCTCGTAATCAATGTGAAATAAAAACGTTAATGTCCTCGTTTGGAGTTTATTTCATTAGTTTTCGTTGCGCAAATTGTGCTCTACGTGAAATTCTGGTCAAGAAACATGTATCAGAATGCTTCAATTCGTACCTTGTCTAGTGGTCCATCCGCCCAAATCGCGCTCGTCCGCTCGTGTGTACAAGGCTTTAGAATGACAGTACCTAGAGTACTTCCTCCACCCGCAAATGGAGCAAGAGAGCAAAACGGGCACACGAAATATTTTCAATAAAACCTCGTCTCTCGGGCTGCGGGCTGATTGTTGAAATTTATAGATGAAGCGATAGACAAAGAAGACATCATCATTATGGAAAAATACTATTGGTTAAAACGGGTGGTATATACTAACTAAATAAAAAATTATGGACTAACTAAAGGCTTTCTCGTGGTTTGTCGTCAAATAGTCTATTACATTGCCTCTTTGGCATTGCAACCACCCGATCCTTTTTGTCTTCATCATTGTCTATCGCTTTGTCTATAAATTTCAAAAATTAGCCCGTCGTTCGTTTTGGAAAAGTTTTGAAGGTCACCCTTCCGGACGACCCTGTCCCTCTTTGGCAGTAAACTTGCCCCCGCAGGCTAATTATTGAAATAGATAGACAAAGCAATATAAAAAAGACATCGGGAGCACGGAGCGATCCCATTGGTGGAAATGAGACTAAATATAGGTTAATATGGTTCATATATACTGAATAGAAAATGATGGACTGCTAAGGATCTCTCATGGGTTACCGTTAATGAGTATATTACCTACCTTCTTTGTTCATTGCAATCTCCCGCCTCCACCAATAGGATTCCTCCATATCCTTTTCGTATCCTTTGTCTATCGCTTTGCCTACAAATTTCTAAAATCAAACCACTGATCGCGGAATGAGAACGGTATAGAGAGTGAAGAAGCTTACCGGTTCGGGTTGCTGCTCACATATGTAAAGATTCAAGAACACCTCATTCTCACTGTTTTTGTACCTCCACTCCAGGTACACCTTGCGTAACTCTTGCGGAGGCGACTTTTTGATTTTATCTCCCACTAGATAGAAAAGATAGATAGAGAAGATTTTTATTTTTTCCACAATTTTCATAATACACAAAGCTACAATAACTAGAAAATCACCTCCCAAGGCATTCGCCGTCCGGGGGATTCCACGCAATTTCACTACTTTTTACAACATTCAAATATCCAATTTCAAATAAGCATACATACTTGGTTCCGTGCATAGTAAAAAATAGAAAATAAATGAAAAATACAAATAGAAATAAACAAGTAGAATTTTAGACTTAAAAATTTTAAAATTTTAAAATTCCCAGTATAAAAACATCGCAATATATTTAACAATTGTCGAAATTTTGAAAAGTTTAAGAAAAGTTTGAGGAATTTTAAATTTAAAGTTATAAAAAATGTCTTTGAAAAAAGAATATCTTGGTACTCTCTGAGCTTGGAATTTCAACTTTGCAATTAAAAAATTAACTAAAACATTATAATTTAAATTCTGAAACCAAGAATAACCTGTACTGCCACGCATGCTTACAATATTTCACCAAGTTTCTCCCTTTTTCCACTATGGTCGGTTGGTGACTGTCTGTTGATATTTCCTCCACTTGGTTGACTATTAAATGGGAGTTCGCCGGAATCCATAAACTCCAGAGAAAAACTATTAAAGGTATGAGGAAAAGATGCGTCCGCCTGAGCGCGATTGCCATTATGCATGGCCTATGGACACCTGGACTCGGGAAGAGGTGTTGTCAAATCACACACTGAAAAAAAAGTTTGATGATCTAAACGGAAAATTGGTGTTAAAGGTCGAAATTTGAGGTTATGACCAATATATAATTGGCTCGAAAACTCTTTAATATTGCCGTCGGATAATGTACTCT